ATTGGTTTTTTCCTCGCCATCCCATTCTGTTTTTCGCTCAGCGTTTCCGGAATCATACTGACATCTGGAACTTGTTGTGCATTCAGAACGATATTGTCACAACAGTCACTTTTTTGCACGTCATCTCGCCTGCCCCATTCACTAGTGCACTTGATAGACGATGAGGTTTTCCTTCTGACATCAAAGTTCAGTGAGAAGAAGTACTGTTTGCAGGTGCAAGTACTGGCACTATCCAGAGGATTTGCCAACTGCGAGTGTAGTGATTGCGTTTCACAACGAAGGATGGTCTCCACTGATGCGTACTGTTCATTCGGTGTTGTTGCGCTCTCCACCACAATTATTGAAGGAAATAATCATGGTTGATGACTTTAGTGATAAAGGTTTGTTAACTCAAGACATTTGTTTAAACACCGATTTTTTCCCCTAAGCTATGACACTTCAGAACATTGAGTTTCCAGAGCAATATTGCCCCTCTTGAAGGCAGCTTACAAGCAAGATGTTCTTGCTGAACTACCAGTGGAGCCTTATGGATGCATCGAAATCAGCAAGCATTTGCAAAGCTGGAACATTCGTGATGGAAGTTTAAATGTGGTCACTATGTGGTGGCAGAATCGCCAACATTGTTTAAAATGTTGGTGGGAAGCCGATATTTCAACCCATATTTACAAAACTCTGCTCTTTTCATTTGGAAGGAAAAAATGTTCCCGGGAAGATGTTGAGATGATGGGTATACAGGTGTTCTAACATTCCCGAAGATTTTTTTTGTTTTATTGTTTGCCTCTTTGGCTTATTCAAAAGAGTAGGGAGTAGAGGTCTGCAATCCCCTTTCCTGGTGAATCAATAAAATTATGCGGAAAGCAAATTACCAGAATTTTAGCATGAAAAGCTTCGATTTTGGTGAGGAGAACAGCGCAAAAAATATGCAAAGGAGCGCTGATTTTGACTAGTGGGACACGGCTTTCACCAGATTAGCGTAAATTGATTTAAAAGGGCAGAGAAATTTGCTAAAATGGCGCAAAATTTGGTCAGTGTCACTGGATTTTTTCATCCGCAAAAGCCAGTTAGTGGTTTTCGAATCACTAAAATGAACTTTGAGACGCCAGAACACCGTTAACAGGTCCGAGTGCAAAATTATTTTAAAGGCTGGCTGGAGGCTGGAAGTGCTAGAATATTTTTCGAAATTGAAGCATACGGCTAATTTGTAGTAGTTGGTACCAGCCTAGCAAATAATTTTAAATTCCGGACTACAACAACAGCCTTTTATGGCGCATGAAATGCAGCATGTTGTGCTTCTTGCGGTCGCACTGGAGTAAAGCTTCGGCCTGTCGGAGCATGGAAATGCGGGTGTGTATTGTCGGCGTGTTGAAATAGCAACTGTTGTGAACATGCGGTCAAGCTGCAGGTGCAAAGATGAAAAATTGGGAGTTCATGATTTAGCTGTTTCCAGAGCATCTCAAGGATAGATTGGATAATTATTTAAAACAATTCAACGGGAAAGTGAGATTAGTACGAAACACTGAACGTGAAGGGCTTATTCGAACACGCAGTATAGGCGCTAAGGAGGCAGCTGGCGATGTTGTGATATTCCTGGATGCACATTGTGAAGTGAATATTAATTGGCTACCTCCACTTCTGGCTCCAATACGTCAGAACAGGTAAAATGTGTTGTTACTGGTGTTACATTAAGCTTCAGATATGAGAGAAGTCATCCTCCTGCTTGGCCTTTTTTCTTACTTCTAAGCGCGAGGACCCTTTAATACAGCGGTGCCCTCTGTTTACATTTGCCCTTCATGTTTAGCTTAGCTTCGCATTTTTAACCCCTGTTTCTTGGACTTTCTTGCTCTTTAACTCATTCGAATTGATTTTGTTTCTTTCTGGCTGGATTATTTGCGCTCATAGTGTCTGTTAAGATCACATTTACATCTTTTTAATACAGTTTTGCACCTCAAGTCTCATTTTTTCGCACTTTATTACATTCGGACGATTTCTAACATTACTGTAGGAGCAGGAAAGAAGCGGAACGGATAGGGAGGGAGTGAGGGGGTAAGGGGAAGAGGGGTGGAGA